ATACAAAGAGAACTGAAATTTTCCCAGATAAAAGGTAGAGAACTGTCAAAATTTGTTTTCAGACCCACTCACATGTATTGTTTATTCATAGCATAAGAAAGCAGAACATCAGTCTACTCAGATAACAAAAAAAGTAAATGTCCAAAACAAAAATAGCATGGATTTGCACATTTTCCAGACTTTTTTCTTCTGTGCTAAAGGCTTTTGTCAATAATCAGAGACAGTTCTCACTGCAATCACACAGGTTCACCTTTGGTGATGCTTAATCTTGTCCTGAGGCTAGACAGCAAAGAATCAAACCTATCGAGACACCTGCAGTCATGCTTTTTGCATCTTTAAGGAAGCAAATGAAGTTAAACGCAACTGCTTGAATGCTCCACTAAGGACATATCTGAAACTTCTTAATAGAGATACTCGAAGCAAAATGACAGCATCTTTAGCAGCAACTTACATCTAATTTTGAAATCTCCCGTTTGAGTTTGCCTGTTCCAAGGTTTACCGTTTTCCTTTTCTGCTCCCACACAGGTTTTTAAAAGCATGTCATTATCAGGCATAATTGCAGGCAGGTTAGAGAAATCAAGGCAGCTATGTGGATCCCTGCTGAGATCACAACTGGTGCTGTAAACTTTCAAAGTCTCCGGGGCGAAAAGCACAGTCCTGGGCTGTGCTACGCTGCAAGCTTGAGCCCACGAGGCATCCTGAAGGGGTGCATGCCGCCTGCCATGGCTCTGGCGTGCCGGGAGCTCAGCAGATGGTCTAACAGATTTGTTTGTTCCCAGCATTCACACTGTGCTGTGCCCTGGCAGAGCCTGTGTCTGGGCAGCTGGGAAGGAGGCTGTCTGCTTGCCTCCTGCCGGCTCCACTGGGGCATGCCAGGGGACAAGCGAAATGACACCTCAGGGAGGCTGTTTCAGGCACAAGCCTCTGGAGTCATGCGGTAAGAAGCAGAGAGAGGTTTCGCTGCTGGGTGAGGTGCAAACCTGTAGTGCGAGTGGAGACAGAGACTCCTGAGAGCATAGTTTCACAGTCTTTTTTATTAGAAAAGGAGAATCATTTCGGTTGGAAGGCACCTCTAGAGGTCATCCAATCCTACCACCTGCTGGCAACATCACCAGCCCAGGATCTAGCTCAGGTTGCTCATGGACATGCCCAGCCAGGTTTTGTACGGCTTCAAGGACAACAATTTCACAGCCTCATATGGTGACCTGCCCTTGTGTTTCACCTCCCAGTGAATGTTACTTTTATTATATATCATTTGCTTTTACCTTGCTGCCGCTCATGTCCCCTGCCTTGCACACTATGACTGTGCATTTCTGGCTCCATCTTTTTTTTCATTTAGTCCACTATGCAGGGGAGGACAGTGGGTACAGCCTCCCCATTCGCCTTCTCTTCTCCAAGCTGAACAAGCTCTGTTCTGCTGGCAGGCAGGATATGCAACAAAATGACCATTCGGTAGCTGTGTAACATGCACAGTTTATAAAGCAAGCACACTAAAGGGAATAAGCACACCAAGGTGACTTGTGTATATATCTCTCTATATAGTAAATTAGTCCAATAAGGGAAATCAGAGATAGATATATATATATAAAATACAGTGGAAAATTAGGAATATCAAATCATTACTGCATAGAGAGAACAGAGATGAAGAAATACATCACCAGTTACCACCAAATCATCATCCAGATCCACACTTCAAGCTGGGAAGCCCTGTTGCAGCTGATGCCAGGAGTTTCAGGTAATTGGGAAAGTTCCTACACAACTCTCCCACCCATGGGTGAGTCTTCACATTTGGCCACAAGAGGGTCCTGCTTTTATACCCTTAGAAAAACTAATGGCTTTATGCCAGGTCTGTGACTGTTTACTCATGGGGCCATGCAGTTTCTTATGATCTCACTGTTGTCCATGCTGAGGGCGTTGATGCCTGGTGAGCCCAAGTATGAAGGTCATAGAACAACCTATTCTTTCCTGCCTCCTTAAGGCAGTCACAATGAACATAAACATATACTCTACAGAATACACTTTGGCAGAAACATACTCTGTTATGTCTCTCAGTCATGAGTGGAAATTAACTCTCAGCTAGATTCCCATCCGTTACAAGCCCAGGTGTCGTGACGTCTCTCCACTTGTCCTGGGCCCTAGCCCCCTGACCATCCTGGAGAGATGGTAGGGATGCACAAAGATGAGATACCTCTGGCAGTGGCATCTTGCGCTTTGCTCAGGTTGAAGCACTTGTGAGACCACAGCCTGAGAAAAGGAGGAAGTGGATTCAAAGCCAAATTTTGGGAGTGATGGAAAAAAAGAACCTACTTGAACCCAGAGGGTCTTAGTACCTTGCAGAAACAAACTAATGGTAGAGCGAAAGCAAAGGACTCCTGGAGTGGCTCAGGGGACAGTGCTGTGTGTGCGTTCCCTTACTGAGGATGGAATTAACTCCCCCTTGGAGTGAACCTGGACCTACTGGGTGGAGGTGGAAAAGAGCAAGAAAACTGTACAACATGAAATCCAGGGAGAAGCAACTTAAAGGTGAAGGCCTGCTGTATGTTTGGTTGGAAGGACTAGAGCAGACATTTGACACACTTCTAACTGATCTGTATTGGTGCTGTGGGTAACTTGTGAGTCACTGCTGAAATGTTCATGTAATTATGAGTGCTTTTCCCCTTGAAACACAGTGAGAAACAGAGCTCCACAAATTAAAAATACACTGGCAGCAGAGAGAAAGATACAGCCTTCACCAGCTCCACACCAACGTTTAATCTCAGCACTATGTGGAGACAGTTTCTCACAGGAGAGTGGATAATTGGTACATAAATCCTGAAAGATACAGCAAGGCCATGAGAGGCCCGAGGAAGCCTAAACAAGCAAGATAATAAGAAGTTGGAATTAACCGAGTTAACAAGAACTGTGGACTGTTGGCAAGCTTTTGAGGTCAAGTTCTCACACCTGTGCTTAACCAATTATATGTTAGTCACTAAGGGTCTTCAAGACATGTATCCAATCATAATATGCCAATCACTGTAAGTGCATGTAAGCAGTAGTATATAAGGAGTTAAGGCTTTGTAATAAATGGCTTTTGTCTGATCATATTGATCTCTGACTGGGTCCATATATTTTCTGCAGCAGCTCTACTGTAGGAGGGATTCATGTGCTCTCTGTACTCCAGAGGGCATCATCAGAACAACAACCCATCATCTTTTAAAATGGCTTACAGGGTAATCAGTTAAATATTTAAAAAAGATGAAAGTGTTTCATTGCCAGAGAAGCAAGCATGCAGTTCTTCTATATTAAATAATTAATTCTTTTTTTGGACTACAGCCAGCCTGTTTCCAAGGGAATTCATGCTGGATGACTTGTTAATGTTGCCGATTTACTGAAAATGAAAAAGTATTAAGATCTTGCAGTAGTAGTAGTAATAATAGTAATAATAATAATAATAATGTATCTTGGGGTTCAAAGTAATGACACCTAATGTTCCAGACAAAGAAGAGTGAATGGAGGGATTCCTAAGAGCAGTTGCTAACAAGTTGTCTTTCAGAATACCAGTGTAGAGCCCTCTGCGTGCACAAAAAGATAGCTGCAAGTTCATATGCAACAAATTCTGCTACCAAATATTGCAACAGATTCTGCAAATTTCAGGATAATTTACACAATTGGCTGAAACTGATGTATACATGAAATAAAAGAAATTGGGTATCACATTGTGTATAACATTTGAGCTTGATATGGATTAGATTTGATTTTATTAATTTTCCCTTTTGCACTCCCATAGAAACATCAACAGGTAAAGGTCACTTTCAATTGCAAGACTGAACTGCTCTTAAACAAAGCTGTGTTAAGTCAGTTAGTTTCTGTTAACTTTTCTCAGTAACTTTAATCATAGCTGCACTTTTTGTCTTTGTGTTCTCACCTGCCTCTCAGTGTATTCATCTTAGTCTGCACGTGTTGTAGGTAAGGCTCTGTAACTTCAGAGGCTTTTCATTTGTTACTTTAAAAAGAAGGCTGCATGTGCCCAGCTGCTGTTTTACCAGCTGGTAAACAATTCAAACATAAACCAGCTGGTAAACAATCCAGCAGCCTGGATCAAAACTCACACTGAACTTCTCTGCTTACCTTTGCATGGGTACTGACTGGACATTGACCTGTGAGTTTTTTCTAGGCCCTCAGTTATACCCACATTACCACAGCCCCTGTGGTTGCCCCTCTGTGGGTGCTGCAGGAGCACAACTTCCTCCATGGAGTTTGGCTGTAAGGAGGAAGCATGTAGCACAGGTGGCATGACCACATGGGTCCACCTCTGCTTGAAATCATGCTGCAGTTCACCAACCCTACACTTCTTTACCTGCGTTTCAGCAGTGCCTGTACCTAGTGCCAGCCCACATGCATAGCACAGTGCCCTTCAATCCATACTGCATGAGGTACCAGGTAAACTCCAGTCTGGCTGAGTGTGCTGGGTACCATGGGCTCCTTAGTGCCCATCTCTGCCATTATGTCTCCTATAGCAACCCTCTGCCACTTAAAACATCACTACTACTGCTTTAAGTTTACCAGTGATGTCCCCAGAAATTGGCCTTTATTAACAGCAATGTAGATAGTTAAGAATAGTGGGTTACTTAAACAAATATACCATATAAAAGCTATTAAAAGTCCAGTGTAGAGGAAGCAAAATATCTCTGTGCAAAATACTAAGATGAGATGTGGCTGCAGCATGCATCCAGCTGTCTTAGGCTCTTGTCTAGTATTATGTATGTGTTCAATTTTACATATTTCAGTATGAATTCGAGCAGTTCACAGAAGTTAATGAAGCATGCGAAGTATTTGCTAGAGTGAGGGGCTGGATTCCCAGCAGGAGGATCTGCAGAAATGCAAAAGGGCTCTTACAACTCTTTAAGCAAAAGCTGAGTTTGGCAATGCAAGTACAGCAAAAATCAGGTGCCTCCCTCAAAAAATTGTCTTCACTGTTTACTCTGCACCATTCCTAAAGTAATAACACTTGTCTGCCCTGGTTAATGTTTTCTAGAGGATGCTCTGCTTTCATAATGCTATTTAACAGTATAAACAAGAAAGGGAACTGCAGAGTAGTCCTAGTGAAGAGAGCAGGATCCTTGGAAGCTGCTGTAAGTAGTGATTGCTCTTTTGCTTCCTATAAAGACTTCAAAAGTGTATCCTCTTATTGCATGCCATTGATTTTAAATCTTTCTTGAGGTTGTATCTTACATTGAAATCTGTCTTAGCAGTTGCTCCTGTAATGAAGAGGTTTTGATAGGGTCAGATGGACATAAAGGATATAGACATCACAATTTAGGCATGGAGTTGCCTGCACGCTGTCAAGTGGCTGCCAGGAGGAGGAGGAATCTAAAAGCCAGAGTGGGGTGTCTAGCTGCATTGCAGGGAAGCAAGGTGATCTCTAGAGCCAGGAAATCCTAAGCAGCTAAAAGCGGGTCTTTCCCATATATACCTCCCGCTAAAGGACATAGACTCTGCTCCATGAAAAGCCTGAGATAGGATGCTTAGAGATTTTTTTTTTTTTTAATTATTATTATTTTTTAAGGTATTGGTAATTCCTTTTAAGTAATTCTGGTGATTTTTATATTCAAGGTCTTAAAAAAACATCTTTGCTTAGGGAATGAGTTATCTAAGATGTGCTTCCCTTTTGCATGAGACATTTCCTTATTGCTCTAAGCATCATCAAATTACAGGATCATTGAAAGGAGAGAAAATGGTGTGGTCCACATGCTCAAGGGAGTGAAGATCACAGTGAGATTAACATATGCATAGAGCCAGAGACTGGACAGTGGTCAGGTGCACACTGGAAAGTAGAAACTGGGAGCCTGGTCTGATCTGTTCTTGGGACTGCTGCTGCTCTGTCCCACCCAACTGCCCTAAGTACTGCAGTGGTTCTAGTTTATCTTTTTTTTATCCTCTGGCCTCAGTGATGGTTCATTCTGAGCATGTGCAGTGACTCAGGTTTGACAGCAAGTATTAATGGTGGTCTGGTAGGAGAGTGAAAGCTCACATTTCCAGGTAAAGGAGGCCTAGAAGTGGGTGATGCCATTCTTGGAGAATGTGGTTCCCAAGTGAGATCTCCAATGCTAACCTGTCTTGCAGAAGACAGATGGCACTGGGAAAAGCTCTGTGAACAGTCACATATATTTCTAAATGATAGTGTAAACTTGGTGTCTATGTTTCCACTGCAAAAGTAATTACTTTTAATGAAATAGCCACAGTTGTTGGATTGTCTGCAGAATCCAGTGTACTCAGCTTATACTTGAAATCTTCTCAGGGCGTCAGGCACAGAGGCATCAAAACTCTGCATCACAGGAGAAGTAAATGTCTAGCTGATCAGTCTGGAAAATCCCGTGTATCCATGTGCTGACAGTGGGCAATGCAGAGTTTGTGGTGCTCCTGTGAGTAGGTGGCTCTGGGCAGTAGGCTTCTGAGGTCATTTTCTCACACACAGATGTGACCAGTCAAGTCTTTCTTTTGTGACTTTTGTGTGTATATTGAGATGATTTATTTTTTCAAATTTTTTTTTTATATAGCCCTGAGTAGCTGAGATTTGTTCATCAGACACCACTTGTGGTGACAGGACAATGTCTTGATGTGTTCAATACCCTCACAGGGCACCTTTCAGAAAACAGATTTCTCAGCTTTCCTCATTTAGAAGGAATCAGGAGGGAAGCAGCACCATCTGGTGAGCAAACAGCTTTTCTGTTCCATGCCTGCATCTGTTTCTGAGCAGTGCAAATTTTCATGCTGTCTGAAATGAAATTACCAGTGAGGTTCCCTTATGAGAATAGCATGGGATGGCTGTTCATCTCCTGGACTATTACAATGGACTCTAATGGCAGAAAATTGTCTTCAGAATTGTCACAGAGATAAAAACCAGCCCTAAAATGGATAAATAAGCTGTACCCACAAAGAAGCAAGTTCTGTCAGTCAGAAAACTTAATCCAGCTCACTTCCAGGACTTCTGATGAAGTTATTCTGGGTAACTTCAGCTAATCCCAGTTTTTTTTCATTTTCATTCTAGGATACACGGTGCAAAATAGTACTGCCATTCCGGGTTGCATGGTAGGAAAGACTGTGTGATAAGGAACAAGTAATATGTTAAACAAGTGCTATCACCAAACGTATTACAGATAAATTGCTTAAAGGAGCACTGTCCTCCAGGTGTTGGCATGCTCTTGTGTTATTGTCTGGTTTGATTGAAAGCTCTTCATGAAACCAACCTTTTCTAGAATACCACAAATATATTGTAATTTTGTTACATAGACAAACAGAATGAAAGAGAGAGGTAAATATATTTCCTTCTGGGGGTATTCAACAAGTCAGTGTAGATCTGGAATTAGGATTGAAGAGCTTTTCACTGCTACTCCAATGCTTATGGACAAAATGTTTCTCTGGAAATCATCCGGGTAAAGGTCTTAAAATAGGAAGCTTCATGCAAAATTAGCCCCTTCAGATAGGGAATTTCCTAAGAGTGTTTTAGCACAGGTTCTCAGCTCTTTGCTTTTTAATAAATTGTTAGCAAGTATGCTTGGTACAAAAATCCCTCAGTCATTAGAATCATGTGAGACTTTGCATCTCCTGCTTCATCCTGGAAGGATCTGTGTTGTCAATTTATCACTGGGTGTTCACTTGCTAACCTAGAAGCTATAATACTATTAAATGCAATAGTAAATTTGAAGTTTGAAGTAACAATCTTCAATCATATTCTAAATTCTATTCTATATAATGCAAATTCTATTATAAAAGTACCTTTATGTTTCAAAGAAGGGCCTAAATAGAGTGGGCCACTTGTACCTTTAAGTCTTAAATAACGAAGACCTCTATAAACTGCAGCTATTGAGTCTTTTATAATCTTAAGACTTTAAAATCAACCATTATCAAGATTTTTATGAGAGCTGACTCATAAGTCTTGACTGTGTGTGATTGGCCAGCACTGAGTAATGGATGATTCAGATTCAGATTGGATTCAATTATCTGTGAATTCAGAGCTGTAACAAAATGAAAATAATTCCATGAAAGTATATAGAGTAACCACAACATGAAAACATGTCATAACTGTATAGAGGAAAAATATCAGGATAGGAAAAAAAATATTCAGAAGTCTGTAACCAATAATTTACAGAGCCTTTACAGCAAAACCATGGTATATCCATTAGCCATAATTTTCAGGCCAGGTCAGTTAAATTCCATGTCTACTTTGCATTCCAGATAAATAGAAATTGGCAGTTCAATGTGTATATAGAAAAGTCCATCTATCTGCTGTGTTTTGTAATAAATAATAAATGTGATGGGATAGAGAACAGGTGGTGACTTATGTTTAAAATGAAATGTTTCATTCTTTAGTATTCATGTTATTCTTATTAAACTGTGACTGCAGCTGAGTAAATAGTTCACAGTGAGTAATTTACCCAGAGGCAGCTTCTGAATCTGCCTGGGTATACTGAAATAGATTAGGCTCTGATGCTGTTTTTTAGAAGCTGCTTTCTTGTCAAAGTCTGACTAATATATTGGCTTACTGATACCAGTTTTAAATATTAAGAACTGAAGTTCTTATGTTGAGTTACAAATAGCTAGATATATCAAAAGTATCATTTCAATGTCAAAATCAGAGGAGGCCAAACTATCATTTAAAACTACTGCCCAGTGTAATTGAAGAAAACGTAGTTACCAAGAACCCTTATGGTTCCTCCATTTGTCAGTAACACAGTAGGTGTTACTGCAAATAGGCCTGCTTCTTAGAAATACATATATCAAACATGTAAATGTTTGAATATTTGATGGTAGCTCAAAGGTTTTGATGGTCTTATTCAGGTCTAACTGTAACTGCGTATTCAACTAATACAAATTGCTCCCTTTGATGTTACGGAGAAAGCAGGGCCATGAGCTTCACTTTCTGAGGAGAGTCTCTCAAGCTGAATCATGCCAGAGATGAAAAGGTGCAATTTATTTAATAGGTGTCTCCTAGCACAAGTTTTAGCAAATCTGGCTAATTATCTCACCCAAATCCTTTGCAGCTCTCTCACCCTTTCTTTGCCCTAGATTCCTCCTCAGAAATGAGGCCCACTGGGACATTCATATCTGGATTTCCAAGGTCTCTTTGTAAGAGCTTATACAGTGCAGAGTGTCCACTCTGCAAAGGAATGCAGCTACCACAGCCAAGAGTAACAGGTTGATAAATGTATCGCCCTTTGACCCGTAGAGCATCTGATAAAAATAAGGCCTTGGTTTTGTTAATGACATTGATTCCCTCTGCTATGCTGAAAATGACCCCATTCCAATGGGGTTTGGTTTGTTGATTAAGAGACAACACATTACTTCAGGTTCTTATTTAAACTGTTACATCATTTTCATTCAGAAAGAAAGAACTATTCTTTAGAGACATAAGGCTTTATATATTTGGTTTGCTACTGAAAAACAACCACTGTCATTTGTCCTCTCTTGAAATAAGATGGCTTATCAATCAATCTGACCAAAAGTTTATTTAAAGATTTCCTTCATACCTGTTTGCTCAAATTCTCTCTGTATGTGGCTATTGATTGCTGCCCACTTCCATGAACTTCCTCTTTCTCCTTTTGCTCACAAAACACCCAGACTTCTATAATGTACATCCTAGGAATCATCTTAGACCATAAGTGGCAAAAACACAGTGGTATCATAGCCCTCCAGTGATTAGCCATGTGTGTTTTCCAGGAGGATATGCTCTGGCCTGCTGAGGGTGCTGTGTATTCAGCAAGTCCGTGCCGAATTTTGCTTTTGCAGTTATTTAGGGTGAGAGTGGCAGAAAGAGTTGGTGGACATTTGCCAGGAGGCCTGGGAAAATTAAAACCAAAAAACCTGGCAAGAGTTGAAGAACATGGAAGCTGAGTACAAAAGAAAGAGATTTCATATTCGGTGGGAATGACAGAATAACTATGTCTACTTAATTAATTTACTTAGTAGTAGCTTCTCCTTTTTTCCGTAGGATTTTAATACAAGAAGATGAAGATCACATTCTACATAAGTTTTCTACTGGCAGGCCTTCATGCTGTTTCACATGGTCAGCTCCCACCCAACCACCACAGTGGACATGATCCAAATAAACCTAAGCACCATATGCATCATGCAGGTGAAGCGACTGCTTGCCTCAAACTAGTTCCAAACAATGCTGACTTTGCATTTCAATTTTTTAAAGAGATTATACTGGAGGTACCTAATAAAAACGTTTTTTTCTCCCCTGTAAGCATCTCCACTGCATTTGCAATGCTGGCCCTAGGGGCTAGATCAACCACTCAGACTCAGATCCTGGAAGGACTCTCCTTCAACCTTACTGAGATTCAGGAGAAAGAGATACAAGAAGGCTTCCACAACCTCATCCACATGCTGAACCATCCTGAGAGCAAAGTCCAGCTCAACATGGTGAATGCCATCTTTCTAACAGAGAAGCTGAAACCTCTAAAAAAGTTTTTAGAGGATGCCAAGGCTCTTTATCAGCTGGAGGCTTTTACCACTGACTTTAACAATCCCAGGGAAGCTGAGAAGCAAATCAATGATTATGTAGAGAGGAAAACACATGGAAAAATTACTAATTTGGTCAAGGACATGGATCCACAGACTGTAATGCTTCTGGGTAGCTTTGTTTTCTTTAAAGGTAAGTCCTTTAAGATTTGCATTCACATTATTCATTCTTATCAACAGATCTAATGTCAGCTACCTCATTTTAAAATGGGCCTGGGGAAAATTTCCAATGTTCTTTGCTGGGCCAGAAGAGGCCCTAATGGTGTAGTGAAGAAGGTGGAGAGGTGCCAGGACCCCACTTGGCATGGAGAGGCAGCTGCGGACCACACAGGCTTGGTTGTCTTTGTGGTAGTCACAGAAGCTCTGCTGGAAGCCATAGCCTTCCATGTAGCCTGAGCTGGCTTTCATAGATTTAGCTGTAACTTTGATTGCTCCATGTTCTTCTAATTTTCTGTAAAGGCACTAAGAAGCATGCATGACCTAATCCTTTTCTGCCTTTCTTTAAAAGTATGCATGATTCAGTGGCTTAATTTACTACATATATGGGTTTTTTCCTATCACAGTCCTTTATGTATACACACTAACCTACTTATATCTGAAAGAAGCTAGTGATGAGCAGTGGAGAACATTTTAAGGAACAAAGTAGAATCAAAGTGTATTTCTGATGTGGGTTAGATGATGTGCTCTTAAACCTGACATAACAGCACTCAGATATGAGATTCTACATTAATTTTATCTACAAATTGAGGACTATGATTAAAGTCAATAGAAATGAAATGCATACAGTATGTGCATATACAGATGGTGTCAGGAAAGCCCTTAAATGACAGCTTACAGAGAGGCCACTTAGATCACCTGAATAGAAATGTAGTGATAGGTAGTAAAAAAATGCCTAATTAGTTCATTACTGGCATCTGACAAATAAACTGAAATTGGAATCTAGTGCACTCTTTTGACCAGGTTCTTGCCTTACTGTGATACACATTTTAAAACATTATGTTGAAGATTTTGAATTTAACAAATGGAGCAATAGGTGAATATTATTCCTAGTGATATAAAATTCAATTTATTATGGCATGGGATATTCAGTTACATTCTTCTTCTCTGTATCAGGCAACTGGGAAAAGTCTTTTAAACCAGAACATACTGAAGAAAGGGAGTTCTTTGTGGATGCTGAAACTACTGTGAGAGTCCCCATGATGCACCAGACAGGAAGATTTGACTTCTATTTTGATGAGGATCTGTCATGCACTGTGGTACGGCTTCATTATAATGGGAGTGCTACTGCATTTCTGGTTCTGCCAGCAAAAGGCAAAATGAAGCAGTTAGAACAAGCTCTGGTCAAGGAAACCATCCAGGAATGGTCAGACCATCTCTTCAAGAGGTAATCTTCTGCCAGTCAGCTGCAGCAGCACCTAGGTGGGCTGGGCAAACATTATGAACTTGCTGATTCTGGGAAATGAGTGGGTTATTTTTGGCTTGTGTACCCTATCTGTAAAAATTGTGCAGCTGGTTGGTATTTAACTATTCTTTTGTTGATGCCTGAGTGACTTGCTCTTCACCCCATCAGAGTGGAGACCATACTGGTGAGCTCCTAGGAGTTCTGAACAGCAAGCCTAGATTGATGTTTCTAAAATAGTCCATTGACTGAGTGGGAAAGTGGCAATTCTAAGCCAAATCTTCTATACTGAGGTTTCAGCTAGTGTGCTTTACTTCTTATATGTCACTGGCACACTGTGACTCAGACATATGTCTAAACCTTAAATAGACCATAACTTAAACAATTTGTAGTAATATATACATACGTAATATGTCCTACACAAGTATCTTCCTTACAAGAGCCATTGCAGCACATAGTGTCTGTTAGAATAAGCTAGTGATTAATTGTGGCTGTCCTGATTTTCTGGCATTTTGGTTTTGAAACTATAAAAATCTAATGAGGTTTTGTTAGCTCCTACCATTGACACTAATATCAGCTAACACATTTTACAACCTTGTTTGTAAAGGTTTTGGGAAGGAGGATATCTTAGAACCAGTAGATGAGTAATATCAAATTAATATGTGCCTTATTTACCAAGCTGTGCCCTGATTCACAGCTAAGAAGGCAGTGCAGTTCACACCCATGATCCTTGGTGCATCATTACAGAAATGCCAGAACAGTTAAAAAAAATATAATGGGCAGCAAACTGGATATGAACTAATAACATGAGGCCTCAAATATGAAAAATAAAAATGTATAATTCTCAGCTGCAAAATCAGGAAGATCTTTATCTAAATGAATTCTTGGTGCAAGTTCCTCCAAGACCAACATAGGAATGAGTTTTTTGAAAACCAAATGGCAATTTCAGTTCTGCTATTGTACTGATGCCTGTACTAATATGCTTTGTCCCATCATCTTCTAATGCACAGGGCAGTATCACATAAAGGCTACAGCAGTTCAGTTTGGATCCTGTATGTTTTGGTGTTCAACCCAGTACGTATCTGGGCAAGACAGCAAAAAGACTTCAGCTACCTAAAGGGTAATCACTGCAGCATGTGACTTCAAGGCTCTGAGGTTCCCTAAACAGTGCATGAAGAGAAATTCAACAGAAAGCATACTAAGCAGGAGCTGCCTACAGATACTTCCCAGTCAAAGGCAAACTCTATCACGGCCAGCTCATGGGAGGAAGATGACGATTAGAGAATAGGGTGTCCAAAGCAGTAGGCAGAAGGGCACTGGAGCCATGCCAAATAACACAGCTATGCCAGACACACAGTTTTGCTCTAAAGTGCTGGGATTTGCCACAGTACTCCCCACTTCCCTGTGCCCCACTTAAGGTCTCCAACTGCTCAAGCAACGTGGGCTGCCATCTACACACCTCATCTTCTCTGGCTCTAAAGAAAGGCTCTCGTTTTTCCTCCTTTGCAGAGTGCTCTCAGATTTGCTGAAGCAAAACACCAGATAGATACTACTGTTATGATGATGATGAATGATAGTGCCTGTATCACCATGAGAATATGCACCAGCAACTGAATTAGTTCTCACACTCAGGGTCTAGTCCTCTGGGGTTTGACACTTGTGAGAAGTACACATTTCTCTTACTATCATTTACCTTGGCGAAAAATCCTTTTCACCACCTTCTGTGTTTATCTTCTGTCTAACAGACTGCTGAGCCTCTACTTCCCCAAGTTCTCTATTTCCGGGACCTATGAAATAACAAATATGCTTAACAAGATGGGAATTGTGGATGTGTTCACTGACCAGGCAGATCTCTCTGGCATCAGTGGCACCCCAGATCTAAAGGTTTCAAAAGTAAGTCCATGGCTGTTTGCCCTCTCCTTTCTTTCACAAACATGCAGGAAAAACCCTCTGTGGTAGCATCCAGAAACACCAGGTAAATACAGCTCTCTAATTCCCAGCTTGCCTGCAAATGGGCTCACCCTGGCTTCAGCCTGCAAGCTTACAAGGAGTTTAGCCCTCAGGGACAGTGGAGATTGTATTAGTTTGATGCATGTCTGTTTTTTTCAAAGACCAGTATCAGCCAAGATTGCATGGACAGTATCTGGAACATGAAAGGAACATCAACCTCTGGCTCCTCAAGGGGATCCACTAATGCTCCCAAACACACATTCTTTATCCAATCTTTTAAGCAAATGAAAAATAGTCTGGGGCTTTTTTTTGAGAGAGAGTTCTGTAGCTCTGTCCTGGTCCTCTTTTGAAGTAGCCATAACTACAACACCACACTCACATCTCTGCTACCTCTGTTCACTTACAGAGGATCCTACAAAAGCAAGGCTGCTTTAAAAGGGTCTGATTCATCTCTCAGGTGGTTGTTCTCTGCCCAGAATGACTGCCTCTTTTTTTTCTTCCTAGGTTGTTCATAAGGCTTCTCTGGATGTTGATGAGAGAGGTACTGAGGCAGCAGCAGCAACTGCCACTGAAATAATGACAATGTCTCTTCCTCCAGCCATTGAATTCAACCATCCCTTCCTCATGCTGATTTTTGATAGAGATACAAACAGTACCCTCTTCATAGGAAAAATAGTTAACCCAGCTGTCACTAGCTGAAGTGACATATGAACTCTGCTTGTTGTTACTGATTAAAGATGTTAAACTGCATGACGTGATTTATTTTCATTTGTACCAGCTTAGTATGTGGCTCTTTTTTAGCAAGGGTTTTTATTCTATGCTGTTATCAAAAATTGTTGATATTGACCATGACAGTTGTTCAAGAGGAAGCAAGGAAAATGCTTTAAATTCACCTAGCAAAGAATGCCTCTTTTACTTGATTGAAAGCCAAGGTAAGACCTAAGATTTGCCAGCATTCAGAGAGAGACATCTGAATTACAATGGAAGACTCCTGCTTAATATGTGGTTGTCAGCCAAATGGCAGATAAAATGATTAACACTCTTGCAAACAAAGCAGAAATGGCTGTAATTTACCATAAGTAAGTAAACAAGGGATGGGAAGAGTTGGATCAACAATGCAGGGTCATGGGAAACAGAAGCTTCTAATGGAAACATGGGGATGTACTGGGGATGTCTTCAACAGAGAAACATAATCTGCTTTCTCCACCAGACACCTTCTATCATTTTTGGTATTCTAGCAGCAAATATTCCTGAGTTTCTTGCAGCTCAAAACAGAGCAGGAGGATCAAATCCACTCTTGAACCTGAAGACTTTCAACCACATATTGCCAACTTGATGGACTTAATATGGCCCATGCAAGTAGCTGACTTCTCATACATGTATCCATCAGTGTTCAAAAGGAGGATGTAGCTGGATGGGCAGATGAAGTATTTGGATGGCAATTACACAAGCATACCATCAGCTTTGTGGAAAACATATAATGAGGGTATATAAAACTGTAAAAACTTCAAGTTCTGCCCTCTTACAGCTGAAAAAGTAGGTAGTGGGCACCCACTAAGTAGATAGCCTGACCCAGGCAAAGCACTGTCCACTTTCACAGTCAAAAGGAAAGCTTCCTTTCTGCTCTGTGTTCTTAGTAAAAAGTTTCTGTTACATACATGGTGCTTGACACTGTTTTTTGACTAAATAGATACAGTCTCTATATAGAGAAGTATATGAACAACTCACAGACATTAACGGCAGGACTCCTAGTGAAAAGAATGCATCATCTTCCTGGCTTCCTCCTGCACTTACCTCCATCTGTTTTGGTGGCTTTACAGCCTGACATCACATCGATAGGGTCAGTCTAAGTCATTATGGATCGTACTGTTAAGTGTTGTTGGAGAACGGGCATTCAGCAAAGCAATAGCAAAACCTTTAGGGATCAGAGAGCTCAGAAGTAAGATCCTTAGCTATATGTTGAATTTCCTAGAGTCACACCAATTTGCACCAGTTGAAAAATTTGCATAATTCATTTTAGTAAAGTGATCCTCAGTCTACATGAAGAGATGGAGAAGAAACAGGTCCCAGATGCAGTTATCCGGGGCAGCTGCAAGACTAAATATTGCTCACTCACTTGCAAACCATTTTCGAGTGGATGGAGACACATACATAGAAATACAGCATAGTAGGAGGAAAATACCTCCCATGTGGTTCTGTGGGAGATTTCAAGACTAAGAACTTTCGGAGGCTGTTAATCCATATTTTGGAAAGGAGATACCTTTCTTTCCTACCTTCAGAATCTTGGTGCTCTCACAGACACGTGCCCCCTTCAGAAGCAGGATATGGGAATTTTATTTTCCTCCCATATTCCAAGAAAATGAGCCCACAGGGCCATAGGATATAGGCACAGAGGCAGACATGCTGCCACTCAGAACAGGCACTTCATAGCTCGTGTTTCACCTCTCACTGCATCTCCTATATTATTTATTTGTGTTTGTGAAATGTGTTGGAGAGGGACAGTGAGTGATGTGTTACCTGTGTGCTGGCCATGGGGAGACGAGGGATGTCTGCTGTTCCCACGGGGTTTTCCTGCCCATGTCAAGATTAGCTTCTGGGAGCCATCTGCCAGACTTGCTCATCAGGCAATAGCTCCTGCTGTATTGACATAGCGCCGTGATTTTTCACTGCAGGATATGCCAGCCAGTGTTAAGAAGAGACAGGCACCACACTCACTTGGCACAAAAGAGCAGCAGACAGCTTGCTCCCTGCCTGCATCTGTGCTGTACTACACTGCTTGTTATATGTGGCCCATTCTCATCTCTGCCCCCATCCACCAAGTCCTACTTTCCTAATCCTGACCTCGTTGCTGCAAGCAACACTAAACAGATTTTTCCCTATTAAGCTCAGTCTTCACGTTTCTTTTTCACAGCCTCCCACTCTCCCTGCTGCAGACTAACATTTTATCCCTCCCACCCACCAGCACCATTTGTCTGTGCAGGAGGTGGACACTGCCAGCTTGGCTGTGCACCTGCTCCACCACCAGGTTCTACTTTTCTCCTTCCCAAAAAATAGAGGGTGGGAGGTTCATTGCCTCCCACAGGGCACTCGTAGATCAGCGGGGAAGGCTGTGCAGAAAGACAAGATTTTAGGTCACTGAGCTATTCCACATTGATGTGATAAGCAATGTGTGGATATTAATGAGCCACAGGTGCATCTCAAGAGCAGTTAAGTACCAGGTTCATTAGCTGTTGATACAGCTGACACAGCTATAGAGTGTGAGAATAGGTGATCCCAGGTTTGGGCAACCTGTTTATCATGTAGCCAAGCAGAGGGACCCATTTCATTGATGGCATTACTGCTATGTCATTAGCTGTAACTTGACAACCAAGTATCACATCCCAAGACTGCAGCAGCCTTCCTGGCTCACGCACTCTTTCTGGAAAGAAGCATTTGGGGTATGTTTTGCACTTTTCTCATCATCATCCAAGGCTGTACCTGGAGAAGGGAACCAAAACTCATCTCACTTCCCATCCCATGTCCTTCAGCCCCCCTACAAAGAGGAGTCAAAGGAGAAACTCCCCATTTACACTTCAGGCAGGTGCAATCTGATAGTTGTTGTTCACCATGAAGAAAGGCATGGGTCAGCATAGCCTTTAGCTTTACAAGTATAGGAGTGTTGCGGCTTGTAGCACAGCTACCTTCTTCATGTTAAGCTAACAGCACAGCACTTGGGTCTGTGCTCTTGTCAGGCTTGGCTTGGAATTGTCCTGGCCTGCTTGTTTAGCTTCTTTGTTTGTAACAGTAATTATCCAGCAATCAGGTGCTATTACCTAGTTTGTTGGTTTTGGTCTTTTCCTAACTTTATACAGTCATATGGTATAACATTTATATATTGTTACACATATAGACATTTCTGTACCTAGAGGTATGAAGAACAAGCAGTTATTCTGCATAGAGTGAAGTGTCTATGGCTCTAGAATGAAAAATAAAGGAGTACAGGCATGGCAGGATGATAGCAGGGGATTGAGAGCACAGGTATAGGGTGATGCTGGAAGCCTCAAGGCTATAAACAGCTCACCAGGGCTAAGTTACTGGTCATCAAAAGACTGCAACCTTGGGAGCTGGCTAAAACCAGTTTCAGAGATAACTAGGATAACAGAGATTGAGTTTTCAGTGTATGTAAAGCATAGCACAGTTAGTAAACTGAGGTTTAATGTGGACCTGTGAACCAATGAAGGAAGAGCAAGGGGTAGAGCATGTGAGTAAACGTATAAAAATGACCCCAAGCAGACCCCAGAGCGCAGTTTGCACCCACCACCCTCTTACTCCTCCTGGCACCGATGCAGGAGTTGGCTGACCTGCTGTCCCCTTTCCTTTGTGCTGAAGCCATTGACCTGAGGAACCAATGGGACAAAGAAAGGATAAGCATAAAACCACAGAATGGGGAAAATACTAAAAAGTTTGTGTAAGTATGCATAATCTGAACTGCAAGTCTTAGTATTGTAATCACACTAATAATCCTTGAGTGAGACTCTTAAGATTTTAAATATACTACTAATAAATTCTCATCTTTGCATACAATGCATGTTTCTTTTACCAGAACAGGATTTTGAGTACAAGAAATTGGTGGGAATTCAAGCCAGCTACTATGTTCCTTGGATACAAAAAAATTGGTAAGATCAGTGAGTCCCATACATACCTGCATAGAGCCAATGGGTAGAACAGCCTTACTTCTTTATTGCTTCCTATATGCAATATGAAAATATCCCATATAGTGCAAGGTAATCTCTGAAATGAGTGGATCTGTAGGAGGAGCATGACCAGTACCCTGTCCTTTCAAGAAGAGACAGTGCTGCCGGAAAATATAGTGCTCCCCTGACTGAGACTCAAGTTGGAGGCTGTTGCAGGCCACAGATATGAACAAGCATGTCTAATATCTCACTTGCTCTCTGTCATCATAATTATTGCAGGATATCAGAGATACTGAGGTAGACCCCAGGGCTGGGGAAAATGGGAACGTTCACCATGAAGACACCAATACCTGCTACCCATGGCTGTCTACAGCTTTTCTTCCCTCTACCAAGTGACACCTGAAGGGCTGATATATCACGTGCAAAGATGTATCAGGGACAACAGACATGTACAGCACATCTCTTTGGCAAAAGGGGAAAGCAGCTGACAAGGATCCCCACGGCACACCAAGGACCTCTAGGCACCTTTACCTGGCCTGCCTTCTCATCAAGACCCCTTCCACATGTTGGACCACAGGGCTTCTAGCTCTTGCTCACAGCTGGGTGGAGAGACCATAGGGGAAGGCTGGCACAGGGCTGTAACATGATCTCTCCATGTCATGGAAGGACAAGATCTGCGCAGCAGAGAGAGGACACCCACACCACCCTCACTCCCTCTGGGTGCAAGGGGACACCCCTTCAGAGGAGGCTGTGTCCCACAGCCTAGGGACGTTCTGGGTGACCACTCCAGGGCTAACAGGCACCCCTCCGCTCTGCTGAGGTGGCCAGAGGACACCTGTCCCATGGAGAATATTTCAGACCACTTCATGAGTCTGGAAACTGAGGAAGGCAGTACAACAGGCATCAGTATGACTCCCTTTTCTTTGCCTCCTTATCTGATATGACTGTTATTCAGTCAGTAGACATTTAGCAACTTGACCAAAAGCATTTTTATTTTATTTTATTTTTTTTACTGCATAGCCATAGGAAGTAAGATTTCATCATTATTTATTTTGTCTTATCATCAATAACTGAGCTAATAGGCTGCAGGTTAGTGAAAGGCATCGGCATGCCTCTACTCACTGGCAAGTGATAGTAGCTCTTCAAGAGGAGGAGAAATCACAGCTAGAAACTCTAGTAGGTTGGTTTCTTCATGGTTACTTGGAAAAAACTATTAGAAAACAAATCTTCCCAGGTGTAAAAGACTGTGACTGTCCTTCTGTGACAGCTACACAGAAGCTGCTATGGCAAAACCTGTGTGTGCTCATTCACGTGTGTCAGAATCACCACTCCCAGAGTGACCAGCCTCCAACCAGAGCTGTCATTGAAACATACAGCTTTTTCGGTGTTGGGTCACTGATGACTATCAACATTTTCAAGGACAGTTTGTTGCAGGCCAGGTGTGAACATGGTTGTGTGGCTTATCGGTCATAGGAGACCAGTGTGAGAATCTGGCTGTGTTTGTTGATCTCTCTCCAGGCAATTTGAGTATATGGATTTGAAGTACTCATGTTATGGCTGGATCTAGTTATAGCCATTATTTTATACCCCTGGGTTTGCTATGTTGGTATTTTCTTTACACAGAGAATCTATTTGCCTGCTAAATGATACAGCTGAGAGATTATCAGACTCCCCAGTATGTTGAAATAGCTGGCTTCAAAGTGAGGGAGATAATTGTTTAACTAACGTAACATGTTTGGCCACAGGTAAAAGTCTAGCATGACTTAATATTTGTATAACATCCAAAACTTTAACTAAAGCTTTAGCAATATATACTGGAGGGATTTACTTTTAATATA